AATATATGCGAGTTCCACAAAATACAATATACTGATACTGAGAAGTTTTAATATCTCGTTTCAATTGTTTCTAATTCATGCCTATTTTCTACATTCAACTCGTGTATGGTCCAATTTCACGACGACCAATACCAATGAAGCCAATCCAAAATGGATATAATTTCTACGAGTGTTAGCTTCAATTATCATTGCCATCGTTGTTATCAAAAAAGGAAAACATAACACAACATATCGTTTGATTGTGATCTTTTTGAAATAGAAGAAGGGGAGACGAAAAAAAGACGTTTGAATTAGAGGAAGCAGAGCTCATTAGATATTAATATCGAAGCGTTGAACACGGGCATTATCGGAATCGACGACATAAAGATTTCCATGACGATCAAATGATAAACCTATGGGATAATTTAATTGATTCGAATTGCTTCCTTTCCCATTTCCGCCAATTATGACACTTCCATGTTTAGCTCTTTTGGGCCAACGCATAATTCGACTGTTCAACTCATCAGCAACATAGATGGTCTCTAATTGATCAACAACAATTCCTCGGGGAGAGTACAATTCTGGTAGACTGTCTTCATCTTCCTGGGCGCCAGCGATGACATTTCCTTTTTTTGCACCTTGTTTAAATTTCATCACTCGATGATTACCAGAGTCAGACACATAAACTGAGTGTTCTTGATCGACAAAGATACTCCAAGGACGAGATAGTTGATCAAGGTCATTTCCTTCTCCATTATAACCTGCAACTACTTCTCCTTGAGTGTCACCTCTTCGATACCGGTCTACTTTGTGACCGTATTTCTCAACGACATAGAGTGATCCTTGTTGGTCCATAGTTAAACCAGTGCAATAGACATTCGAAATCAGTGTTTCACCTTTTTCCCCATCTCGGCGAGGCCATTTCACAACTCTCGCGTTGCCTTTGTCACTGATGATGAGACTATCTGTTTCTTTGTCAACAATGACATCCAAGGGTCCGTTCAATTGATGATCGCCTTTTCCATATCCGTTACCACCAGCAACGACTTGTCCATTGCTGGCACCAGGTTTCCATTCCACGATCCAATCGTTGCTGTAATCAGCAATGTAAATTGTTTGGTCATCATCAACGAACAAACCGTGCGGATGGTAGAGTTGATGAGTTCCTTTACCTCGACCATTCCCTCCAGCTACAGTAACACCCGTCTGTGACCATGTGGCATGGATAGGAATATCCAGTTGACTGGCACGCATTGATACCATTAAAACAAAAGAATCATCTGAAAACTATGTTTCTCTAACAGCAGTAAATATTAGACAGATGAAATTTCTAGGAAGTAAAGGGTGTGGGTGACAAGAGAAGACATACACCCCACACCTACACCCTCAGGCACAGCTATGGTACATACGCATCAAATAAATAAGCCGAGAGTTAGAGCTGAAGGATGTCAAGAATCGATAGAAACTCAAGGATATCACAGAATTCAAGTATATAAATCAACTCCAAGACACGATACATACGCAGAGCCTGAAGGAACCCAGGTTTACTCGACATAAAGTCAATCCAAACTACCTCACGAAAGATGTCCTTCGTCATAATTGGTACTTGTGCAACCCAGAGCCATGCTTTCAAAGTTTCCAGAAGACAGTCATTTAAGCCTAATTTTTTACAGAACCACTCGGATGGGTGTGGGGTGTGGGTGATAAGATAAGACATACACCCCACACCTATACCCTTAACAAATTCTTCTTTGGGTGTGTGTGGGTGTGGGTGTGGGGAAAGACAAGACAGGCACTTGCACCCACACCCTCTGGATTCATCTCCAATCTTAATCAGGACCTTGCATTCTCAGTCGAAACATATCTAGTCAGGAACTTAACCAAATCCTGAACAGGATCCTCGAAAATCCTATAAACAGATTTTACTAGGATTTGAAAAAGGATCTTGTGTAAAACTTGACAGGATCCTTCGGAGTTAGAGACCTAGCATATCCTACTAGGTTTCCTCTAGGAATTGACAGGATTGAGACTAGGGATGTTAAAGGGAATCTTAGCGCGAAAAAGCAAAAGTATTTTTCATCAATCTACTGTCATCTTTATCGTAATCTTAGTTTGGATGGTTGTCATCGATGAATGGAAAAAATTTGAAAAGCGTCCCAGAATGAGAAATACGACCCTTATACGCTCAATTTTGCCCGCATACAATCGTACTTTACCGTAATGTCTCGCTAAGTATTGCGATTCGATATTGTCATGATTGTATATAACGAAGTATGATCATTTACTGAGGAAAACGAAATAAAACCGATAGTATATACAGGCTACATGTATGAAGCTTGCAAAACAACCATATTTGTCTTCTTTTACAATCGTATTTTTTCGTATACGATACTTTGATTTACGATCGTAATATTGAGTCAGATATTTTTTTCTTATCATTCGCTATATGATCATTTACGACGGCGTTTGTTCGATATGGGCTGTACTGTTTCAAAATATTGGTCTAAATCTCTTTCATGCCTTTATCAGATTTGTGTCGACATTAAGGCTACAGAATTAGCTATTTCTTAAAAATCTTATCAGAAAAAAAAGATGAAAACTCATTTGATGGAAATATTAATTTGAATTTGGCCAAAAGTGAATTGTTCTCTTTAAAAAGGTATACATTCATTACGGTGGTGCCTTACACTTCTAACTACAAGTAGAAAACACGAAAGTTGAAATATTATCAGGAATACTTGATAATAAGGTAACATGAAGAGTTTCGTTCTAAAAATACCCTTACAAGTAGGAATGCAACGATTCCGATCCGAGTCGATTCCGATTCTAGAATCGGTCGGGATCGGAATCGGTCGGATTCGATTGGAATTGGTCTGAGCTTGGTCAGGATCTATCTAAAATCAATTTAATAAACCTGGAAATTACATGAAGTTGCCAGGTATTTCTTTTAGTTGGCAATATGAAATTGGTTTTAATTGACTCAACTTGATTAGAATTGAAGGGGGACTACTAGAGACAGATTATCACTAATATGAATTCTATAGGAATTTGTTCTAGTTGATCAAATTTTGTAGAAATTCACTCAAACTGATAAAAGCTAGCATAGGATTATTTGTGTTTTGTCTTAGATATACTAAAATTGGCATGAAATTATTATGAGATAATTTGAGTTATTTTGTAATTCATACGAAATTGTCTTTTATTATTTAAGGTTAATGAAAATTTTTCTAAAACTAACCTGAAATTTATCAAATCCGATTTTAAAAAGGTCATCTAATAGTATCTAGAGGTGTTACTTTATATTTACATTATGAAATAATTATAAATTAAATCTTTATATTTGCAAAACAAAGATAAACGTTTTATTTATGTTTAAAAAGTAAGGATCAATAAATTTGAAAATCTTTATTATTTAAAAAATAAAGATAAATGAAGTCTTTATATTTATAAAATAAAGATAAATAAATCAGTAAATTTGGAAAAATAAATATAAAGATGCGATATTTTTCTATGATTGACAGAGAAACAAATTTCTGATATATCAATAGAACAAGTTAATTGGAAGTATATGATGCAAAGTATTTGTGTTGACTACAAATGCAAAGCACAGAATAAGGAAATTAAAAAATTACTACCCAGTGAAAAATATTTCGAAAAAAAACGGAATAGAATGGTTTCATGCGGATATGGAAACCTATCTCCTACGTAGAGAATGCGTTCCTTGTTTGAGCGAATGCGTTCAGAGTCAGAAAGAAATATTCTCGATCTGAAGGAACTCGTTCTTTACCGTTCCACACTAGTATGGAATACTTTCTTCTATACTGAAAAATCGTTCCCTATTTGAAGAGAAAGCATTCTGAATCATTCTTAAACCAGTAGAATTCATTCTAGTTCATTTTCTTTCGGAACGGTTAACATAGCATTTCATCGAAATAAAATAGCTTCCTTTTACGTTCTCTCACGAGCCTTTAAGACAATGGATTCTCTGAAGAGATGAATGCTTTCTTTTCGAAGCAAACCACATTTTCATTCTAAAATGAAAGGTCTGAAGCAAAGCAGGTTGAAATTGATGTGAGAAATGATGGAATCTTCATTCGATTTTACTTTAGGGATATTTGGTCTGATTTAGAAAAATTATTATTTTAATAACGGTTTCAGTTACAACGAATTGGAGTACGCCATTCGATAGAGCTCGTCAAGTTGCATCAGGAACAGTCTTTTGACTAATTGTAGATTCATCTATTAATGATCACCCAGGTGATCAGAAAGGTTAACCGTTTTAAAGAAGAGAAAGCGTTCCACAAGTGGCAGAATGCGTTCTTCACTGTTCCATTTCGAAACGACCAAGAACACCTTCTTAGAATGATAGAATGCGTTCTAGTTCGTTCCATTTGAGAACGGTTTCCATTTGTTGTGGAACGTTTTATTTTCTTAAAAAAAGAGCTTCAGTTCTTTTGGAACGCATTCTTTACCGTTCTTTTTTAGTAATATTTTTCACTGGGTATAACATAGTTATGTTGTCCTTATTTAATTTGTTATTATGATTTTATCATAAAAATTCAAGCTAATTCATTGACCTGAGATGAAATAGAAATCAACTTATACTGATAATTATTTTTGACTCACCACTGCCATTATTTAAAAGAAAGATATGATTAAATTAGATTCTACTTTTAAACGCAAGGGAAATATTGAAATTAGTTTAATATCATATGTAGACTATAATTAATTGACATTTGCTCGTTTTTTAAACAATGAAAGTGCCGGTTCTCGAAGACGACAGGAGTTAAATTGTGAAACTCACCGTAAATGATTTTTCGATTTTTGTGGTAGAAAAATATTGACGATAACTGATTAACTATTAGGTTTATATCATTGTTTCATTGGTCAATATGCTGTATGAAAGAAGTTCTTATTATTTCCAGAATAGACCCTACATACAGAATAGTACAAGTTTCTCAGAAAATAACGGGTGCTCATGTACAGTTAAATATGATATTGTCTTTATGGTTACATATTATTGAGCATATATACAAATATATTAGAAAAACGCGTTATTCTATAAGTACAATCTTGCTAGATTGTCGTGGTTTGGGAGTTTACTCCTGTGTGCAATTACATATAGATGAGTGAATGAAATTTATTTTCTTTTATTGTGACGATTATCTTTTCCCGACCAGACTAAAATTAATTGATCTAGATTCATTTGTGTTACGACGTATAAGTGCATATTGTAGAAGGGAAGAAACAGAGAATAAATTAATCTAAACAATTAATGAATGTAAATTCTTGGACGTCCGCTAATGAAAGAAAAAAACAATAGAAAAACCGTTGTATTGCTGTTCTAAACGTTATATCATATGAAATTTCTCGTATAACGTGTGAAGTAACAATTAAGCATTTGAACAATCAACCTTATCTCATCTAAAAAATGAGCCAAAATACTATGCATGATCAATCATCATCAACGAACTCACCCCTATTGCCAAGCAATATACAAAATATGCCAATATCAAACCGAAGAAGTCCTTCGAGAATTAATCCAAGAGAAGTATCCGGTGCTCGTCGTCAATCTGGTGTTCGAAGAGGAATTTCAAAAACAAATGTTTCTTCTAGTTATGGAAGATCTTCAAAAGGTACACCTCAATCCAGAAGAGAAAACAAAAAAATTGATATTGATCTTGACATTCAAACTGCAATGGACTATGATGTTAATAATGTCAATAATTCAAGTTCACCTCAGCGTGATGAAGATGAACAACAAAATTTATTAAATATATCAAGTGCTAGTGCTGATACAACTATAGCTGCAACTTTAAATCATAAGAATCGATTATTAACACGACCAATCGAATATTTTATACATGCTAATGATGGTGAAAAGGTTAAATGTTCGTTATGTTTACATGTAAGAAACATGTTTCTTGCTTTTCTTCAAAATTTTCTTTTCAGAATACTCGACAATTTATAGAGCAGAAACTAGCTCCATTAAAGGAACAGTAAATAATGTGCTTAAAAGGAATACTTTAAGAGACGTTGCACTAGTACTCTTAGTCATTGTTTTGCTTCTGTTTTATTTAATATATATTTATCTTCTCTTGTAGGAATATAAATATGGTCAATTCTCCGATAGCAATCTGCATAGTCATTATTGGTTTTAAGCACGGTTTATATGATTATTTGTTTCCATCTCAAATAAAACAACGAGCACATCATGAAACCAAGTCAACCATTTCATCCCATTTGAAATAAGAATTAGATACTGCAGCCATTGAATGCATAGTGAAAGATAGTTTATCTTTTGGAACATTTCGACGTGCTAGTATGCAACATTTTCTTGAAATAATTAAACCTGGTTATCGTGGTCCAACACGACAGACTGTTCGTAAAAATCTTGATGAAATGTATCAAGAACGACGTTCTTCATTAAAAGAAAAATTAAAAAACATTGCTCATATATCTTTAACTACAGATCTTTGGTTAAATTCTCGTCGAAATCATTTTATTGTCATTACTGCTCATTATCTTGATGAATATCATCAGCATTTATCAGATATTATTTCTTTTCGACGATTCCGTGGTCGGCACTTTAGTGTATGGCTAAAGCCATTTATAATTAATGAAATTAAAAAATTAAATATCGAATCGAAAATTATTTCGATAACTACCGATAGTGGTAGTGACATCAAGGCTGCAACGTCATCTTATGAATTTGGATTAAGATTTTCTTGTGATGCGCACAACATCAATCAAAAAATATCAATTGGATTAGGTTTATGGAAAGTTTCAACATCAAAAGGGTAAATCAGTTTGATTTTTGTTAAAAGAAAATAACTTTAGGTAGAATATTTCTGTTCTTTTTAGTGTAAAAGCACAGATAACAACAACAACACATGCACCAAGCAACGATTCTGACGATGAATTAGAAGCAATACGTCTGATTGATTTTGATCTAACGTCTGATGAATGGGTTGACGTCAATAATCCTGATCTCGATGACGAAGATTATGTACCAATTATATTTGATGAAAATGAGAGCGATCGCTACTCTGATAGTAGTGATGAATATGATGATGATTTAATACTATCTCTAGAGGGTGTGGGTGCCCGTCTTCTCTTTCCCCATACCCACACCCTCAGCCACACCCCTTCAAATATCAGGCACTAATCTAAATTAAGTTTCAAATCTAGGCTACAAATCCAAATCCGAGTTCAAATACCAAGGGTTTGCTCCCGAATCCAAATCTTAATCAAGATTTGGTGCATCCCTAATCGTGAAAAAATTATGTGCCTCTCCCAGGTCAATGATTCCGGAGGACGGATACTGTAGGAACCGGCCGGAAAGATGTGGAAAAATCACCGTATCTGGCCGGAAAGCATGGGAAAGCACTGGAAACTGGAAGCAGTATTCCAGTTGGAAGATACCGGATGTATTACATCTGGAAGTTGATCGGAATCTACAGGAAGAAAATCCGGTAACTTCCAACTGGAATACTGCTTCCACTTTCCAGCGCTTTCCTGTGCTTTCCGGCCGTTTCCCGCCGTACGTCGACGACCTGGGCTATAGCTCTTATTTTGTTGTTTATCATCTATGTCACTTTCTTCTTTTCCACCTTAAATGATAGATAGCTCTATTGATGTACATAGCACAGTAATTTTGTTTTTTCTACTCTTTTATTTTATTGTCAGATAAAAAGATGCCACTTGTATGTATAGCTCTAATTTCGTTGTTTATAATCGATGTCACCTTTTTTCTCTATGAAACAGATAAGCAAGGACTTTTTTTTATTCTCTTTCTACATTATTTCAACGCTTTTCGTTTATTTACACTTTGATACACTTTGTTTATAAAATCAAAGTGTGAAGATACACATTCTTCACATAAAAGAAATGTACAAAAACATTTTATTTCAGATTTCTATTAGAAACACTGATCGTAGGTATCGTGAAGAGAAACGGCATATCATTTATTTACCTGGTATTTAATCGTTTTTCACTTCTAGCAATTTTCTTACTTCGCGATGAGTTTTTTTGTGAACTATCAGGTACCTTTTAGCACATAATTTAAGGCCAAAAGAAATTTTTTTTTCAAAAAGTATTTTAAAAATGTGATACATTTGTTCGCCTAGAGTGATTTTTTTCATGAAACATGTCAAGTAGAACTTATTTTGAGGAGGTGTTTAATTGTTTCACCGGTTTCAATTGGAAAAATTAACATGCTTTAATAGCTCTTTTCAGTTTTCTATTAGTGAGAGAATATGCAAGTGTATAGTGAACTAAATTTTGTGTATGATGCCATGTGAGATCATCAAATAGTAGCTTTCTTTCATAAGTGAAATGTATCTTCATCGAGTATTTCATTAGTAGCCTGTTTTCCAATAGGCACCATAGATCAAAACGAACGAGAGAGTTTAAATTCAGATCAAGATAGAATGAAAAACAAATAAATTTTATAATTGACACTTTCCATTCATAGTTCTATTGTTCTCTAATTTGTCTGAAAAATGTGTCTTCATATTTTTACTTAAAAGAATCGTTTGTTTTAACACTTTGTCAAATGATAGTCATATACATATATCAATCATATCATAAAAAATAACATTGACATTTTCCCATTTATTATTAGCCATTATAAATTGAATTGACCAAGAAAAGCTGAAAGAAAGACGTTCTAGTTACTAGGTAATTAGCTTTCCTTTGAAAGATGAATATTTTTATCAAAAGCTTATATTTCGTTTTAGCACCGGAAACACTGAGTCAACAAGTTTCTGAGAAGATATTAATAAAATAAAGAAACGCATCAATAGATACTGAAAGTATAGAGTACGCTGTGACACCTCATATATTTTTCCGAAATAATTAGAGAAAAATGCGTAGTACTTTTTTCATTGAATT